AACCCTAACTTTCCGTGGCATTGTATTGTTGTCGTTAGAAAAAACTACTCTTGATGCTACTATCAATTTCATTTTTGTTTGGTCACTGGATTAGTTGGATTCTAAAGTCAACTTCTGCATAGTGCTATTCATATATAAAAAACAATACAGTAATTCAATCAATTAACTTCAATTTTTTTACTGTATAACACGGTCCCCAAAACAGGGAGAAATTACTTATGAATGATAATGACTTCTAACGATAGATCACTGGGCACTTTTTATGAAAGTCCAGTTACATAAGCAGAAAGTTTACTTATACTTTCGTTGAATAATTTTAACGGAATCTTAATTTTTCTAATATTTTCAAATAAAGATAGTAGCACAACAAACAACTCCACAAAAACTGGCAATAATACCCAAACTAAGCAATTAGCTTTATATTTTATGAAACGTATTTACAAGCCTGTTTAAATAGCACACATAAGTATGCATAAGAATAACAGGTAGCAAAAAGATCAAAACTGCACTGCGAAACTACACAAGTTTCCTACGCATAACATAACATATACATTAAAATTTATTTGAAAATCAATTAAAATATTTATATAATCAGAATTTTTAGTTCTGTAGTTAAATATTCATAAATATTTACGTTGAATTTATACTTTCAAAATTAAAATTGAAAATATCGCTAAATTATACAAACATAACTTTTAGATACGATATTTTTTTTTTTTTTTTTTTTTTTTTTTTAGATTTTAACAATTCAATATAAGTTTATTTGAAAGGAAAATGCAGAATTTGTAACAGCTTATACATATAGATCATCATACTAAATGCTCATATTTCCCCTGAAACTTAAGGAAAATCTACAGTTCTTGATGAATTTACCTAAACAAGCAGAGATATGTCAAAAGTGCTCAAGTGATGAAATTCTCATTATCGTGCTTTTAATTCAAGCCGTTGTGACTATACAGGAGTCTGAAAACTCTAACTTGAACTCCATCTTTTAATTTTTATTGGATGAGCTATGTTTGGAAAGGTTAATGACTTGAACTAAAGGTTAATTAACAGAAAGTCGAAGCGAGATTAAACCATAATACATCCTATGGAGCTTAAGTTGAGAGTGATATTCTCTGGCGCTTTAGTCAAATGGATTGATGGATTTTTGGAAAATGTGCAACCGCAATAGGGCTGCCATCAGTTTATCGATTGTAACTCATACCAAACTTAACAAAGATTCTTAATTTCATTTTTCAATAATTCTAATATCCCAGTCAACGCTCAGTACAGGTTCCTGGGGGGACACGCTATACAAAATTATGTTAAACTGAGGCATTTTAACACACTGCTCAAGAATAAGGGAGCATCTGAACAAGTGTATAATAGGTTTACTTAATTCTACTTTATATTTCATCCTGGTTTAGTTAATTACATACATGTGTAAGTATATATATTGCTATCGAAGTTTCTGGCACTCTGAAATCCTTGAATATTAATGATAAAGTGATCTAGTGATATATGTCTTACCCTTTCACTGTCGATAGCAAGGCATCACATCTATAACGCTTCATTCTCTTTTTGAGCTCCTTTCAAAATTTAGTTCATTGACTGCAAATTTAATCTGCAGTTTTCCTTTTGTCGCAGAAGCCGTTGTGGTCAAAGTTACTGATAGCATTGTTTTGTTGTTATTTTCTGAAATTTTTCTCTTAATAAAAGTAGAAAATGCTGCATATTTGAGGTTCATCTGCTCCAAGCCCCTGAACATATGTATTTTAGTGTCTTGTGGAATGCATATTCTAATTCCGAATTAAAGAAACTTAAAATGTATTTGAGTAAGCAAGAATTTAAGCAGTAAAGAAGGAAACTGAATAAAATAAACATTGCTGTCGGGTGAGAGTAATGTCAAACTAAAAATTTGATTGCAGAGAAAAAAAAAATGTTCTAGTAAAATATAACACAATTTATGAACATCAGAGGCTGTATTCCTATGTTAATTATATAATAGTGGCAGGAAATGTACTTTAGTAACGAATTTCGCAAAAAGCTTTTATCCTTTTTTTGGATACATTTCTAAATTAACAAAATGCACTATATTGTAATTCTAACGTTTTCAAGATGAAAATTTGTGAGAAACCAAATTTTACTTTTACAGAAGTTTGTAAGGATTCTTGTGCTAATTCTTAAATTCTTTCAAATTCATTTTTTTTTCAAACTGTCAATATACAGTATATCTTAGATTAAATATGGTGCAATGATATATCAATACTTTTAACACATATTCTAGTAGGTGATAAACATATAGCACAGGTACAAGGCAAGTCATTTTTCACATAGAGACTGAAGACAGCTATACTTTCACTATTGAATTATGGAGTGAAGGAAGCAACAGGTGCCGCATAACGAATTGATTTTACTCGTTGCCAAAGTTTGAATTCTGTTTTATTAGTTTATTTGGACAGAGATAAGGAAAAGAGAGGAAAGAAATAGTCGGTATTAATATAAAGAGACAATTCTTGATTATTTTAGCATTAACATCTTTACATATACACATATCGTTTCACGGCTATCATAAAGGATCACGCACATAAGAAAAACAAAGTATGTATACGGATTTTATTTGTTATGCAGACATTTTTTACCTTTAGTAAATTGTATACACATGATTTTCTTAGCTGTTAGTAAGGAAAGGCAAATAAATTTGTTTTTTTTTACAAGTTAAAAATATATCAGTTTTCATAATCATCAAAATCTTTAGTTTCAATTTAAAAGAAACTTAATTTTGAAACAAAGAAAGTTCGTTTCATTAGAAAATATGTGTAACTACAAAAAGATTTATCTATCTACCTGACAAATTCAAATAATTAATGCTTTAAAAATTCAAAAATTAAGTTTAAATTAAGCAATTAGATTATGTTCAAAGTCCCAACGATTAGAGGTACACTAAGGAATTGCTTGTAGAGTTCTTTAAATCAACTTGAAGCATCATTTTCACAACCCTTTTTTTATCGAGCTGAGAAAATCGTTACTATTGCAGAGGTTTGTTTTTATTTTGTTCTGAGCATAACAAGGAAGTTTGACACTTCTCCGCCCCGAAAAAAATTTAATATTATAATAACAATAATCCTCTTTAAAATAAAAAATCTTTTGACTGAAAAACTCCTACTTTTCGAAATAATCAAAAATAGCTACACATTTTAACCCAAACCTTAATTCAAATGCCATTTCGAAATATGCCTAATATTTGAGAAAACAGTTACGAAAATTTATCATTGCAATCAAACAACTATGATAACGGAAGGATATTGCGAAGTGAAAGAGTATATTTTAATATGTTAACTTTATGTGCTGATATTAAAACATTTAATATTTAAGTTACATTTAACCAGTGATTTTCTGAACAAACTTTCACATTCATAACTATAGTAAGCCAACCAGAAACAACTATAAAGTTACTGTCTTGACAAATTTATATGAATTCGAGGTCTCAACAACTGCAAAAATACCTGTAAATTTACAAGAAAGTTGTTAAATACATACACCCCCCAAAAAAAAATACTTTTCGAAATTATTTATAAATTCCCTGCAGGTATTTATCATGTAAACATTGCCAGTATAGTGTATAATTTGTTAAAAAAGGAAACAGTGCAACTCCTAAAATCAGAACAAATGCTGTAAATAAATTTCAGTGTTAAAAATATTTTTTGCCTTGAAAGTCAACAAGTGCAGTGCAATAAATAAAACAAAAAGTAGCCCTGAAAATTAGTAATCAAGATAATTGTCGCAATATATTACTTTTGTTGCACCGTTAAATTAATTTTAAGACTGAGCATTCATATAACTTAGAATAAATTGTATTCATTTTTGCGTATTTTTTTCCATTTAAGCTAAGTACTTTAGATGGTGTTTTGAATGTGGAGTTAAATTGTAAAGCTCACAAAATAAACAAAAATAAATACACACTCTCGTAAATCGAACACATTAACAGTCACGAAACTAAGACCTTAATTAATCAATATTAAAGTCATTTTCAGAATATAAGGACAAAGTTCTATATTCTGTATTTATAAGCTATATCAATGAAAATAAACAATTTATCAGCTTAGCAATAAAAATAAATAATTTATAAGGTATGCCACTCAAATACTTTTGATAAGCATTATTAAAATAAATGTTATTTCAAAAGAATAGTTACTATCAAATGAAAAGCTATTTAAAAAATTGAATGCCGTAAGCAAACTTAACATGATAGTTATTTAGATTGCTTTTTTAAAAAACAACTGTATCTATGAAATATTGTATTGAGGTATTTTTCATTAATGATGGCTCATTTTTGCAGCAGTTTAAAACGACACAGTTTTAACACGTGCTTTAGTAATTTACGACCTATGACATGTTTAATGACCCCACAGCTGACATTCATTGCTTGGGATGAGTAATGAAGTCTTCGTGACAAATTTACTCACACAAAACTTGAGTTATGATCATTGCAATACTACTGCTCCTTTCACACATGCTATTAAATGACTGCTTAAAAAACATGTTTTGACATCGTAAAAATATTAATTTTGCTATTTCACATTTAGCTGCTATACTGTTTATTAATATATTATGAAAAAATTACTAACGCATTTGTAAAATATCATTTAAATTAATGCACCCTCTTCATTCATTTAAGTTTCTACAAATTTTAATCTTTCATAAATGTAATTTAATCTGTTGTGCGTTTTCACCCTCCTTACATTTTTCACAGACCTATTTTATTCAGTTCCGTTGCACTGACAAATACATAAAGCATATTAACTCTATATATTTAAATATATAAAAAAACTATCACGAAATAAAGACTATTGTGAAAAAAATTATTAAATGTTTTCTAACATTTCATAGAAGATTTTTTTCTTTACTAGAACTAATAATGATAAAAATATCTCCTTAATATTGTCTTATTTACTGTGCTTTTGATAAATGCAGATTATTTATGCAAAGTTATAAAATGTAATTATTAAGAGACTTACGTGGCTTCGGTACGCTCCTTTTCACTTGCATCCATTTATAAGTGGGTACCGGTGTGGGTTGAGCAGTCGGCAAGCGGTTCCTGTGCACAGGGGAACCGTACTGGTACCCCCCATTCATCTGACAACTTTCTCTTAATGTAGGATCATAATTTTCATAACCACCGTACCCGTTTCTTCTCGATAGGCTCAAGGAGTCTAAGTACGGATAAGTAGAAGGTGGCACGCCGAATCCTGTGACTACGCGGGCCCCTTCGGGTCCGAGAGGGACCCCTTGAGGATGGTCCGGCGCCTGATGACCACTTATTTCGTAGGAATAGTCGAGGTTTCGATACGGGTGATGGTACGTTGCGTTTCGAGGGGCTACGTCAGCTACGGCACTGTACGGTGAGTGGTGGTGATGGTGGTGGTACGTCGGTGTAGGATTACTGGGATGTCCCACTCTCTGATGGTGCTGTTGTTGGTGAAAATGAGATTGGTCAAGATTAGTGTAACTAAGTCCATTGCTTTCACTGATGATCTGATGTGGTGTAGGATGACCGTTCGTCGCCTCAGGGTGCAGCGGCGGCGTCCGCAACTCATGTGCGCTCGAGTAAGGGGTCATTAGAGTTGTAGGAAGGTAAGAAGGTCCAGCAGGTTGTATCAGACGATCCGAATTCTGTTGGTGGTGGTAATATGCAGTTATCGAATCTCCGCCGGCCGCTGAAGCCGCGGTAGTCCCGCCGTTGTACAACGGTTGTTGCGGCTGCGGGTTGGCCGCCGTCCCGTAAGCCGTCGCGTCCCCTCCGTTACGGCAAACGGAGGCGTACACGACATTAGAATTCATAATAACCTAGCGGGACACCTTTTTTTCCGGGCCCAGTTTTATTATAAAGGGGGCTTACTTTTAAAAGGATGAGGCCTCTAAATTAGCTGTCTCACCGGGAGATAAATCAGAAAATAAACGGACGGTAAATCATCGCGACCGAGGTTGACAGAAATATGGGAGTTAAATGAAGCACGTGACTCCTCCGCTCGACCAATCCTGTCACGAGTGAGGCGGAGTTCGGGAGCTACGAGCGGACGGCACAGACCATTAGAAGCCGAGTTTCCAAGTGGATTCAGTGACAAGTTTCAGGCCTCCGAAAATCTTTTTTCCTCCACCTCTTTTCCCCTACTTTGCGGATTCGTGAGCGCTGCTCGACGTCGCTTCGTAAACGAAGAGCACTGACATAAACGCATCTTAACGCTTTCGTCGCTAATTTCTGTAACAGGTGTTCGCAGAAATAGATTTGCAAGCAGATGCTTCGTCGTCGGCTCTTCCGTTTTTCAATCAGCACCAGTAAATCCTAAACATATGAGCGGAGTTCAAACTGCTTTCTCAAATCTTTTCCTTTTTCCTTTCTTTCTAACTAATTATGAAACATTCCAAACATATTTTTAAATGAGTCTCTCTTGCAGTTTTTCATAAACACTAAGAAATTTTTTTTTTCTTTTTTTCCCTCTCGATGCAATAACAGTTTATTCAGAAAGTGAAGTTTGTTTCTTCATCCCGTATAGTTTTATTTTACTTGTTTCTTATAAAGATGATAAATATAATTCAGGGTAAAGTTCATATATTCTATCACTTGCATCGTTATATTAAATAAGTCTTATTATTTCTTTAATTACTAATCATATTCAGTATTTTCACAATTTTATTTTATTTTTGCAAATACAAATTTTTAAAATTTAATAAAATATACTCAACTTTCAAGCATAATTGAATTTATAGAGTTTCTCAGCATCATTATGCTTTAAATATTTATAAAACTATCAAATTTGGAGAGAAATGATAAAACATGTAACTACCATTTTCGTATATAAAAATGGCGAAATAAATATTATGGGTTCGCAAAATATAATTCGTATGATCGTTATAATTTTTTTAAGTTTAAAAAAGCCACAAATTTCATTTTTTAAAGTAATTCTAAAGTAATTAACTGTTCCTTTTTTAAAGAAATTGTTCTTAAGACACCGATGTTTTTAATATTTTCCATGAGTCATTATTTGTTAAATTTTTGTAGCGTATTCATTCAGGATAAAGACCTCCCACCAAAAAAAAAATTAATATCGCATGGAAATTTTAGAAGTAATTTATTTAAAAATTAGCCAGCACAGCTAATGGGAAGAAAATCACATCATCTCATGTAAGACTTTTTTTTCCTTGTACACCTACCTATTTTGATTAATTTATAAGAAAACATGAGACTTAGAATGTTCAGAAAAGCAATTTTTTCAAATTTATATTTTCTGTTTTCTCATTGTTTCATATCGTCACAAAATCATAAATGTGCTGCAATGTTAAAATAAAAAGTCAAAGCATACTTTGAAATCGAAGTTGCTATTAATTATTTTCTAGTAATTAAGCATAATATTAGGATAGATCTGTTTTCGTAATTACGAAGAAACTGATATATAGTTGCCGTTCGCAGAAATTTAGCCAGCCAAATTTCACTAAAGATGAAATAACGTTTGACTTAGAGATAAATGCATCGTTTCTTCTTTAACACTATTACATATTTCTCTGTTTTTTTTTGGAAGTTTGATCACGACACTATTTTTGAAATCATCAGTTAGTTAACGCTATGTTTTCTCGAAATTATATCTAGCGGAACTTAGCAATATTCTTCACAACAGTGTTTTCATTTTGACATTGTTAATACTTATTTATCTCTTACATCACAGCTCATAAATTTTTAATATAAAATATGCTTTTCAGCCACAGATTATCCTTCTTTACGAAGTGCCACATATTGAAACTATAAGTCTTTTAGACGAATAGGAAATAATCGAAAAGGCCAAAAATTTAACTGAATTTTTAAAAGTCGTATCCAAGAGAAGCATCCGCACAGCGAATTCGCTGCTTGCTCTAAAGAGATTGAATAAGCATGTAAGTTGCTTTCCGTCATTTCCACGATTCTACGACAGAGCGGCCGAAATGATTCACGGGAAGGCTGGAAGGAGGTGGCAAACAGAACGGATTTTTTTCATTGGACGGAAAAGAAAAAAATATAATAGGGAAAGAAAAAGCATTTATGTTTTGAGTTTTTCTCGACCTGCCAAAAGTGTCCAACCCTCTTCTTTTGCTTTTCTCCCAAACATCTGCTTTAATTTTTTACTTTTTGCAACCTTTGCGCAGATGTTTCCGACGGCGTCAGCAGAATTGCAGTCTGCGAGAACTGGCATAAGTTCGCTCCCTCTTACCAAAATAGAAGGGAGCAACAAACTTAAGATTTTGGATTGGTGAAAAGCAAAACATAACAGCGAATTTGAACTTAATTCAAATGAGAATTAAAAGATCATTATTTCGGGTTTGAGTTGTTGAAAGCTGATTAGAACAAGCTCGAAAATGGTATAATCTAGATTTTTACTTGGGAAAAGATTTAGGTGTATCAAGTGCACATATGCCTAAAATAAAGCTATGCCTAGCATGTATTTGTCTGTTTTTATTAACATGGGAAATTCGAATTATTGCTTTCTTCAAAAGATTAATTTTAATAGAATTTTTAATATGCCATTTTTTAATTAACACCTGTACGAAGAGTTAATGACATTGAGAAGGCTATTGAAGGAAGATTTTTTACAATATTTAGAAGACTATTGAACATATAGAGCTTTTGACGACATTTAAAGAAGGCTTCTGTGATATTTTAGAAGAGACTGTGTAGAGACATTAGGTATTTTTGAAAACAGGAGAGATGAAAAATGAGCAATGCCCTCGCTCGAACCACGGGCCTCTCGATACGCGCCGAGTGTGCTGACCAATACACCACGAAGGCATGTTATGAAGGCGGGAGAAAACCTTACAACTGTTACATATTTACGTTGATCTTCAAGAAAACATAACGTTAGCCACATATAAAGAGTTTTGATGAAATTCTAGTCTCGAGAGTTTGTGTCAGATATTAGATTCTAGTCTCAAGAAACTGTGCCATAGATTCGAAACTACAAATTTATAGTAGCCGTGATGGAAAATAGTCTTATTTACTTCTTAAAATGAAAATATCCCTTTCGTTATCCCCCCCCCACAAAAAATCACTTGTATCAACAAAGAAATTTAAATTTAAATTTATGAACTATCATTTATTTATTTATGTATTCTGAGACTGGTTTCATTGATCATACCCAATCATGAAAGGGCTATCTGACTTTTGAGAAGGTATATCTTAGGAAAAGAATTTCTAATAAAAATTAGCTTGTGTTTGGAGAAAAAAAGGCCGTTCTTCTGAATTCACGCCTGGGTACTACAATCTAAGAGTTTCCAGGAAACATTCAAGAAGGTTTAAACTTTTCTTTCGTCTCATTAGAGCGGAGAAGTCTAATGAAACTTTATTGGTATCCGAATAAATTTTTTGTAATTCCTTTTTCTCTAAATTTAGGTCTACTTAAATATTTATATAGCCGAATTTTGTCTTGCCAAACACGGTTATAATGATATTGCAGCGGTAAAGGGCAACAAGGCAGTGTTTTTAACTTTACTTCTATTGCCTAGATGTAACTCATTCTGGATGTAGCAAATAAAGGTTAAAAAGAGGGTTTAGCACCAGAAGTTCTTTCAACAAACTTAGAATGGAACTACAGACAGAGCTGTCATCTGCTCTTTACTGTGAGTGAGTATTTACCAAAATATGTGCATGGATTATACATAGTACCAAAATAGAGACTAATTATACAAGACATGTGAAGTTTTAAAGTGCTCTATATACTTATAATTGCGAATTAAATAATTATCATATCCTTTTACTGATTTTCTTTATTAACATTTCATTGTTACATTATTTTTGTCTAGGAATTCCGTTTTTTTTTTTTTTTTTTTTTTTTTTTTTTTTTTTTTTTTTTTCCCCGTTCTCAGCACATACATGTAGATCACACCAAGAGGAAAAGCTTGGCTATAAACAAATAATCTGCTTTAAATAAGTAGTCCGATCTCCATTCCAGTTGAACAGCACTAATTAGCAGTCTAATTGTTTATAAAATTAGTCTAAACGGCGAATACTGACGTTTAAGCTACCCTTTAAAAAGGCTTATGAAATTATTTAAAAAGGCTCTAATGTGAAATTAATTATTTAATTCTGCTAAGAATAAGGAGGGTTTGTGTGTTTATTTAACTGAACATGGCAAAGTATATGACAGCTAGCTAACAAAATAGCGAATAGTACTCGTATATATACACACACTGAAGAGCCAAAACGTTATGATCACTTACTTAGTAACTTCAAATCCTATGGCCTTCAAATCGCCTTGGCATGGATGCCGTCCTGGTATATGACTCGACACGGATTAAACCAAATGTCTAAGCAGCGGTCACGCGAATTCGAGATATCCTGACGTGGTGGTGTCTGAGCTCTGAGTATAAGAAGAGGAATGCCTTAACGGATAATTTCTAAGGCGAACTGATTCATATTCACGTTACACATGAGGAAAACCATGAAAATCAGCCATGTAGCCAGTCCGTTTGTCTGGGATCGAATCCAGATAGAACTCCCAGTATTCAGTGGTCTTTAACCACTCGGCTACTGGTGGTGGAAAAAGAATGTGATTGAAATTGATAACTTTAAACTGAGTCCTTTGCCATATATAGCACAGCAACAATACATAACGTAGTACTGTGTTCATCATTTAAACCTTCTCCTTAGAAATGGTACACAGTGCATAATTTTTCCTGTTGATTTATGAAACATAAAATTAGTAAAAAAGGCAGGGGTGTGATTAGTGAATATGGCGCTTTCTCTTTCCTTTGTACCATGCATAGTTATTTTCTGCACATATTTTTACCGTCATTTCATATAATTTTGATCACATTCTAATATTTCTCTGCTTATATAAATACTCGAGAAAAATCCAAAGTAATAAGTATCAGAACGTACTTTTGTATGGCCATTTTATCTCTGTCTTATATGTCCGATTAATATGGATGATGTTATGGCAAGGAGAAACTTAGTCACCTCCTATCAAAATTTAGCAACTTATTTACAAAGCCAGTAACATCAATCATATCTCAGTTTCCTCTATAGGTGATATGTATGTATTCGTTACTCAAAACTTAAATTTATGGCAGTATTACTA